ATCCGCTAAAAACTTGTATATAGGGGCTCAGCCTTAGCAGAGCGCAGGTAACCGTAGTGTCATCCATTAGCGCCAGCGCCAAAAATGAATGTCATATTCGTGATCAGGATGTTGAATTACCCCTATATACAAGTTTTTAGCGGATTTGGTGATCTTGCCACTTTTAAAATGAGCTCGGAGCCGAAATTTCTGGAGTCCAAACGGCATTAGCCTCAAGAGGGTTAATTGCTCAGCGACGCCACTTCATGTCTGCTCGTGTGCTCCGTTTCAACTGAGCAGCCTGACATAGCTTTGGGCGTCAGAGCATGCTGGGCTTCTATCGAAAGTTACCCCTCTCAAGGCGTTGCAATATTCCGCCTCCCCATTGTGTTGGACTAGTGTCGTATTTCGGAGAAGGTTTTGGTATGCTTGTGATTCGTCCATGTTTTTTGATTTGGCAGCGAGCCAGCTGGTTGAGAACCGACTGCAGACACGCTCTGTGCAGGTATCATAAGGCTGCGTTCATACTTAGCGGTAGCGTCCACCAGCGACCACTTTCGTGCGTCCATCAGCGTCAGCAACTATAAAAGTAGCGATCTAGCGGACGGCTGCGTTTACCAGCGTCCATCAGTGTCACCAGCGTCTAGTAGCCAAGAGGATTAGAGAGTATGGGGAAGCAGGAAGGAGGAGGCAGCAGGATTGAGCGTGACATTGTGGAGTGTGCAACCGCTCCGTGCTACTACGCAAGTACACCTGGAGTAGTCGCTGGTGGACGCTGGTGAACCCTCATCGATATCTATACTTTATTAGTCCTCTGAGACGCTGATGGTCACAGGTGGACGCTGCCGCGAAGTATAACTGCAGCCTAACTTGCTCTGTTAGAGATGACTCCATACGGAGCCTTGGAATTTTTGCAGAGCTCGTTCTTTTTCGGCCTCCTATCATTTATTGATAGGAATCAGTCAATAGAAACGCAAATCACTAATATGGAGTACGTTAAAGTGAGTTTTCGGAGAAGTTATAGTGCTTCACAAGTTCAGTGGGCGGTTCACACTGAGTACGTCTGCTCTGTGCACTCCTTGAAGAGGGCAAGTCCTCCTCTTCTCCAAGCTCAGTCTTAGGAGAGCGCGAACGAACGGAGTCCCTCTAGGTCTCCATTAAGGCAGTTGGCACGTGATTTGGTACTCGGTCCTAAAATGCTAGTAGGGCGCTATATAGTGGGAAATGGCGAAAGAACGGAGTGAAACGGTCAAAATCCTGCGAAGAAAAAGCCTCCGTTCTCAGTGACTTGTAAATCGATTTCGGACGAGTTTCCCGTAGGCATCTTACCAATCGCCTGCCCAGGGTCGCGGAATTCTATCCTGCCAGGAGTATTGATCCTAGTCAACTTGGGGGATTTATCGTGCCAACTGCCTTTAAAAGTGCCTAACAGAGTGAAACATCAATCAGTGAACGAAAGGACTGAAGTGGTTCTAAGGGTATACGACGGCTCGACTCATCGTCTCCTCTTACTTTGATATCGTACCCTCACCGGGATCAGCTTTAGCAGTGCGCAGATGTGCTGCTTGTAGGTGTCCTCGTGTCGGGGCGCAGGTAGGGAGACAGTTACGACTGCTTCCCCCACCTACTCACTCCGACCACTTTAAGGCTGCATTCATGCTTGGTGGCAGCGTCTACCACCGTCCACCACGTCCACCAACGGACTAGGTATAGATATCGATCTAGCGTCTACTAGCGCCACCAGCGTCCAGGAGTGCGACATTGTGTGGCAATACGGTGCGGCTGCACGCGCCACGATTTCACAATGCTTGATCTAGGTGTCTCCGCCCTCGTACTTCCCCGTACTCTGCCAGCAGTCTGCTACCCTCCTACTTCCTCATATTTTCTAGCCTCGGTCGCTGTTGGACGCTGGTAGACGCTAGATCGATCGATATCCATACTTTCCTAGCCTCTCGAGACGCTAGTACAGCGCTGCTAGACGCTAGACGCTATATGTATCATATTTCTAATTTTCTCTTGAGACGCTGATGGTCGCTGGCGGACCTGCTGCAAAGTGTGAACGCAGCCTTACGACTGAGCGCACAGCTGGGCAGCGTGCTTGGGGTCATATGTCGATGTTGGTCTTTTCGCTGCAGCGTTGCTTCACGACTTGTGCTCCTTACTTAGCATAAGCTGCAATCTGACCCCTTTGCAGCTGATCGTCTTATCACTCTATGGGAACTTGGAAACAACAAAACAAGCCATTGAATACTCGTTGTGGGAACTGGGAGCATATGAATATAGTGGCAAATACAATCAAGAATTTTACAAAAACAACACATTGGTAGAATTCCTTGTAAGTCAATCATCGATATATTGTCCTTTGCTAAATTTTTTGAAGCCGATATATTTATGCAGTCGTATGAGAATACAGCAGGGCTCACCAGCTGGACCACTAGGCTACGTTCATACTTCGTGGCTGTCGAATCGCGCGAGCGATTGCAGCCTGTTGGACTGCTACATGTGCTAATTCCATTCGCATACAAGGTAGAACTCCTTCAGCCAGTGCAGCGCTCCAACGATAGCGGTAGAGACGTTCGATCATCGTCGGCCCTACTGAATTCGCTCGAGCAGCGAAGTAGAACGCTGTCTTAGGCATTGTTCTGCTAATCATTTGAGAGCAGGGCATAAAACGTCATAATATCAATTGAACTTCTCAATGAACCTGGAGTTTTTGGCTCATTAGGAAGTGGGGCCAAGAAACCATTGGCGCGCCCTTTCTAAGTCGCTGTCAGTGGCGGAAAGAAGGCTGAAAGAAGAGGGGTGCAACAGCGGTGGGTTCGCCAACCCGGCTATTCCGAATGGTGTCTTTAATTGGTCGAAGATACTCTCGAAATTATTCCTATCTAGTCCCCTTGCTCACCGACGAATCTTTTACACTAAAATACAGCGCAGTTACCTCCACCATTTCATAATCTCTGCCGTTTCAACCCAGGTTTTCGGCAATGAAATACTCAATATGGAAATCAACAAGGCGAACACCAAGCTTTCCCGTAATTTCGGTGGAGGTAACTTTTGAGCCATCATTTTTCTACTTTTTTTCTTTGGCGCAATTCGGCTTGGAGGGGGTAATGGCATTGAGCCCATTCGCTGCTCCGCCTTGTCACGTCGAACCACCAAGTAATTAGTGAAACCCCGTGAAGCCGTGAAGTCACTCAAAGTTCGCAGGAATTACTTGTCAACTCATGTGAAGAAAATCTATTAACTCTTGAAGAGCAATGAAGAGGGAGGTAGCGAGTGCAACCCCTCCCCCCACCAAGCCAACTGCACCAATTTTAAGTTCCTGGTTGAAATTAAAATTACAAATTTAAAAATTTAATTTAAATCAAATTTTAATTTGAATTCAAGAAAAATTTGGAAAATTAAATATTTGTTACCAGCCAGACTCCAGTATGTAAGATAGTCAGCAAAAGCCGTAAGCCGTTAGCCTGCATTTTATCAGTATAGTCCTCATCATTGCGGACTGTCGGGGCGTCTGAGCCGCACTGCACTGTGACGCGACAGCGGCTGCGGCTCGGTGACCGCAAATCAGCTGGCGTTCATGGAATTCTACTGCGAATCCCACTTTTTTTTTCAGCTCTTCAAGCTTCGAAAGTGGAAGGTGAGTTATTCTTGAACAATTTTAAATGTACTGGCTCTGAATGAATCTGAAAGAATGCAAGCCATTTGAATAAATGCCTGAAATAAGGCAAAATACAAGGAAAAGAGCATAACAATAGACATAAAAATGAAGGAAATTAGAGCCAGTACAATATAAAATTGTTCGAAATAACTCACCTTCCACATTTGAAGCTTGAAGAGCTGAAAAAGTGGGAATTCGCAGCTGAATTCCATCGAATTAGGTGGATCCGCCGCCACAGAGCCGCGGCTCTGTGTACAAACTCACGTGCGCGTATGCGGCGCGGCTTCTTTACGGCAGCGCGGCGACGGGCGGGCGAAGGGTGATCGCTTGCGCCTGCCACTATGCCTTCAATCACAAGCCCCTTTTATTCCAATTATGTGGATAAGGGAGGAGGAGGAGGAGGACGAGCGAGTAGAGAAAGATGGATCGAACAAATTAGTGAACGCTCATAGGTGAGTTAGTCGGTAATAGCAGAGAATACAGAAAAGTCGAGAATCAGATCGTTTATTTCAGTTTCAGCGGAACTGGCAGAATGATTCCCTTTGAATGGAACGTGACGTTATAGCGTTATGAGGTCACAATCACTATTGGCAATTTGCCCAAACCTCAGCTTGAACTTTCATGTAAAAGCTGCTTGCGTCGTTTTCACAATCAAAGTGAACTATGCCGTCAGTTCTGCCATTCACTGAAGTAATTCGTGATATCCGATTTCCTACCACTAACTCACATATGCACCCACTATCTGTTCAATTCCCTTCCTCTCTCTACTTTTCCCTCCTCTTCTCCCCACATAAAAGAGGCTGCTGGATGGCAGCACAGCGCCGCGGGCCATCGCCTTTCGCTCCGCTCTGCCGCCGCGGCGCCGTGAAGAAACCGCGCCGCATACGCGCATGGGTGAGTTTTTCCCTCCTCCCAGAGCCGCAGCCGCTGCCGCGTCACAGTGTCAGCGCGGCTCAGCTGCTCGGACAGTCAGCATTGGTGAGGACTGTACTTCGTTGAGAATCCATCAGATCGGATCAGCATTTCATTGAAATAAACTTAGAGGATAGCAAACTTTTATTTTGCAATATCACTACAAGGACGAAGATGAAACTGAAATGATCTTCACTATCTTTTCGTAGACAACACAGACTCGCGATCTCTGATCATCTTGCTTTCCGTGGAAAATCGTGCAGTGTGGAAGATGAAGTAGAATAGTAGAACAGCTACAGTAATACAAATCGCGCGCATTCGATTGTGCATACGATTCATTGTGGGAACACTGGAAACTTCTTATAAAAAGGACTATATAGGACTGCAAACATCACACATACAGTCATGATCCCGGGAGGGCATCGTTCAAACTTGGCTAACGCGCGTCGACGCGCTGCCACTGCAGCAGCGCTCCGGAACTAGAGACGCAAGCGCCCGGCGCCGCGACCGATTCCCGTCGGTGAACGCAGCCGCAGACGGGAATCGATCGGCACTGGCCGTCTGCGGCTGCGCGCTGCTGCAGTTGTAACGTCGTCGCGCGTTACAGCACGTCAACGCCCGTCATCGCGAAGTCTGAACGTTGCTCACACGACAGGGTGCGTGGCAAAGGCATGGCTTAAACCGCAGCCAAAGCAGATTTCCCAACAGTTGTTAGCGGGCTTGGGCGTGGCATCATTGGTGGGGACTTAAAGACGGCTTGGCTGCGCTCGAATTGCCGCCGCGTCACATGCCCTATCGCTTGCAGGGATCATGACTGTACAAGACTAACTCAGTCTTTACAATGACATCGGAACCGTCTAGTGGTCAATTCACCTACGTACCCAGACCCGGAAAGGTGAACTATTCTTGATGCAATAGAAAACTTACGCGACGTATTCTGGAATATCCTTCTGACTTTTGTACAATTGTGTGACCACCAAGAATCTCCTCTGCCATTGTGTGTTGGCTTGATACCGGTTTCTTAAGCGCCATCATTGGGAAAAGCATTTTCTGGTGCTTCCACTGAAAACCTACCCTCACTCGCGCTGTGCAGTCTCCCGGACCTCACTTGTTTATCGTACTCTGGTATAGAAGCATGGCGACTTCCGTCACTAGCAGTCGTTTCAGGTGGTGTCTGAAAAAAATCGTATTCCATCGGGGTGCGGAAGGAATTTAACACGTTGACGACAATCGCGTTTTGCGGGAAAGCGCCACGTGGGACAATGGCGTGCTTTCGCATGCGTCCGCCCTGAGCCACCGGTGGCTCAGGTTGTCCCTCGTGGACCACTTTTTTGCCGCTATGTCAAATTTCGCAAAATGATAAGTCAATTGTGCAGGGACTGCTATTTCAACCATATTTGACCCTCATGCGA